CATGTTTTTCTGTTGTGTGATCACAGGTCTGGTTCACGCTTTATGTCAGGGGCCCTTTATATGATTTATAGGTCAGAATTAAAGGCCTTCAGGAGCCCCTGAAATGGTCAAACTAAGAATAAGAACTCAGAAAAACTTTGTTTTGACCCGTAGAGCTGTTGCTACAAACCATTTACCAAAACCTAACAAGAAACTTTAGGAAACTCTTAAAGAAAAGGAGGTCTGATACAAGATGTCTGCCAACACCGGTGAGTTTTCCCTCTGAGCTTTTGAGTCCGATTTGTTTCTTCACTCCGTCTCTTTTTGTAATAAAAATGGAAGAAAAAAACCTGCCAACATCCTGTCACTGCCAATAGTACTATTCAGGGACTCCCTCAGTGGGAGTATTCAGGCTCAACTCCAGCCTGCTGGTTTATTTTCTGCTTTTTAAGAAGATTTTTTTTGTGCATTTGAACCCTGCTGCTTTTTCACTGTTTGCTTTCCACTAAAAAGGACAGAAAAGTACATTTCAACCATGAAAAATACATTTCTTTAACATGCAAACACTTGGGTTTTATTACCATTTATCATATTGAGAAATATACCGACTTCTTGTCATGGAGGAGGATCTTGAGGGAGGACTCAAAAAACAAGGGTTTTATTTTCAACAAAAAACACACTCAAAAGGAGTGGATGACAGGCATGGGACAAAACAAGGCTGTGAAAAAACTAACAAAGCAAGATTACATGACTGTGAAAAAACATGGCTGTGGCAAAAACATGAACAAAGTATCAAATAAGGAAAACAAGGCTATGGCAAAAACAAGGCTATGGTACAAAAACATGGCTATGGCAATAAAGTAAACTAAGCTGTGACAAAATCAAACCTGACGTGGGGTTACAGAAACAGAAAGACGAAAACTCACTGGCAGCATTATTGTGGTGTAGTCGTGTAAAACCGGATTTTTATTTTATTTTTTTACCATTAAATGATGCAAAAGGTCTCAAACTAGTGTCAGATTTGACACATTTGGTGTTACAGGTCCTGAATCGGTCACAGAGGGTGGATCTTTAGGGAGGACTTAGTCGCGGAGATTCGTGAAAACAAATTATTTATTTTAACAAAAAAAGCACTCAAAGGAGTGGATGCAGACTAAGTTCAAAACAAGGCTGTGACAAAAACTATGATCAAAGTAGCAAAGCAAGATTAACATCAATCAATCAATCAATGAATCACTTTATTCTGGTAAATTGTCCACATTAAACACAAGAAACAACAAAAGAAAAAAAGAAAATAATAGACAAACCCTACAAACATGGCTGTGGCAAAACAAAGTAAACAAGACTATGGCAAAATAAGGTTAACAAGACTGTGGCAAAAACATGGCTATGGTACAAAAACAAGGCTATGGTACAAAAACAAGGCTATGGCATGACTGTGAAAAAAATCTAACCTGACGTGGCGAGGGGTGACGAAAAGTGAAAGACTAAAAACAAAAACGCACTGGCCCAGGACATGGGAAACAGGACTATTTAAACACATGAGGGGGGGGAACCCCAGGTGAACACAATAGGTAATCAAGACATGACAACACACCAGAAACTCCCCCAGACGGGACAGTTCTTTGCTAAGTTTAGCCTGGTTTTAGTTTGAGTTTAATACCGGGTGCTGCTATCGCTTAGCTTGATGAGCTGTAGCAATAAATTAGGCTGTAATTTATTTAGAGAGGAAAAAAACAACCGTTAATCCTCACAGAGTCTTAAGACCAGAGTCCTTTTCCGGACAGAATAAAAACCAGCCGAGTGGCTTCCTGTGACGCGTTTCAGAGCAGAAAGAGAGCGTAAATATTAGATCGGTTAGCTTTTCCCGCTGAGTGACGGCTCCTAACGGAGCACTTAATGCAACAGGTAATTATGCTAATTACAGCAGTAGTTTCCCTCCGTTTCCATCCCGCTCACCAGGTTAGCCATTAGCAGCTTCCAAACTCAGATTAACCCTCTAAAGCCAAATGTGTCATATCTGATCCGGTTTCTGAAGTCTTTTGGATCTGAGACTTTTTGCTTGGATCGGGCTTTAAAGAGTTAAAGCTGTTTTTGGGGGATTTTGAGGCTGTTTTTAGGGCTTTTAAAGCTATTTTTTGGCCTTTAAAGCAATTTTTTAGGGCTTTTAAAGCTATTTTTTTGGGATTTTAAAGCAGTTTTTTGGGGCTTTTAAAGCTGTTTTGTGCTTTTAAAGCTTTTTTTAGGGCTTTTAAAGCTGTTTTGGGGGTCTTAACCTTATAAAGCCAAATG